AGGGACGTCTCCAGCTTTGCTTATTACCCTCAATTGCTTTCACTATTCAGGGTCTCTTCTGGATTAGGATTGTTTTCTCCAGTTCTGTTAAGAATGTTTTTGGTATTTTGATTAGGATAGCATTAAATCTGCATATCAATGTTGGAAATATGGGCTTCGTAACTATATTCGTTTTGTCTGTCTAGGAACATGGGCTATCTTTCCTTTTCTGACATTGTCTTTGAATTCCTTCTTTAGAGTGCTACAGTTTTTGTTGTAGAGGTCTTTCATTTCCTTAGTTAGGTTAATTCTCAAGTATTTAATTTTTCTTGATGTTGTTGTGAATGGTATTGCACTTTTCAACGCGGTCCCAATGTACCTAACAAAAACATCTACTTTATCGTTACCTCCAAAGTCCCATATCATCTGGCCCTGCCTTTTTATCGATCATATGTTCTATATGTTCCCATCAGCTCCTCTCTTTTCAGCCGTGGTAGGCTTCTCCACACTCCTGGAGCACACTGTTCTTATTTGTCTCTCAGGAATGTTCCCTCATCTTCCCATCACTGCTTTCTTCTAATTCTTTAGGTCTTAGCTCCAGTGGTCATTTCCAGTGTACTCCACATCATGTCATTCTCATCCACAGTCACTGCCTACACATCATCTTATTTGTTTTCTTTGTGTCACTTAATACTTAACTTAGATATATCTTTCTATATACACCTATCTATCTATATTGATATCTATGCCTCTTAGTATTTTGTATTTAACATTCTAAAGTGTAAATGGCATGAGGGTAGAGACTTGAGCCATCTGTTCACCACCGTGTTTCTGCTGCTCACAATCATGCTTAATATATGGTAGAAACAGAATATCCAGTGAATGAGTAAACAAGTGAATCGGTGAAAGAGAAATGACAAGTTGGGTGTTCAGTTTATAGTATGTATGTCAGGCAAGCTAGTGGTCTGCAGTTTGGGCAGAATACAGCAGAAGTAGACTTCTGACTGATACGGTCACATCTCTTTAGCGAAGAGTATGATTGAATTGATGAGTATCAGAGTCTTAGTTTAGAGCCTTCCTTGGACTAGAAATCTTCCTTGTGCCTTTGTTTAGCTTATATGTTTTGATCAACCTAACTCTACGGAAGCAGAAAGACACTAGGGTATACCAAGCTGGGGGTAAGTGAACATGATTTCTAACACTGGGTATATATAATCTTAGCCTATAATTTTGTCCCTCATTTTTATAATGACATTTACTGCACAGAGACATTTCCCATAGCTTGGGAAATAAAATGTCCATATCTTAAAAGAGGAGTTTACTTTGTACCCACAGGTTTTAAAATTTCAATTCTAACGCTTCATTTGCATATCCTAAGATAATTTAGCAAAATGGCGAGGATGTGTTGTTTTCACATCTTCTGAATACTAGGGAAGAATTAATTGGCTGGGAACCACCATTGAAGGTGATATGCAAAAGAGGTGCTGCGCACAGGTGATCCTTATTGACTGCTGTGCTCTATAATTGCTACTTTCTTTTTCTAGATAAAAGATAATGAGCATTAGCTTAGAAGGACAGAAAGAATACTGAACAGCAGTTATTGAAAAGCAGTTCTCATCTGACACTGGGACTAGGAAAAAACTAGCAAATCATTCTGGGCATTGTGCATCTTGCCCATCAGATGGAGGAAGATTAGACTCTAGATTTATTTACAGCCCTTCCAACTCTGAGGCTCTGTAACTCCTGAGCCAAAAACTATCTCAGCATCAGTGTTTTCCAAAGACTGAAAACTGATTTACAAGAAACTCAGTTAGCACGCTACTAACAGAAAGTTATTGAATACTTTCATCTGTGCTTTTTCTTTAAATCAATGGAAAAATATCTCTCAAGTAGTGACAAATAGATTAGGTCATTAGAGCATTATTTTCATCAAAATTGCTTAAAACTTTTACTACAGATCCATATGTCATAAAAGTGTGAGAATGTCAGAGAAATAGAGAAACACTTCTTGCAACAGAGGAAGGTATGATCTCGTCCACAAAGGCTGCCATGTGATGTAATTTTATGGGATGCTAGAAAGTTTCCATTTCATAAAAGGGGAATCCATAGTTGTAAGTAATATGTAAAGTGTACATTGTCCATATGTGACTTTTGATTGCAGTGGTTTATAATTATTACTTTTTTATTCCAGATCAAAACAAACAAACTAATGAACATAATTTTAGAGACAAAAGCCTTAGAGCCCCAAGGTCCAGCATTAGAGATTCATTCCTTAACTTACTACTGTAGGAAAATGCAAAGTAGGCCTTAAACATGAGCTACGGTACAACTTAGGATAATAATAAGTTTATATGTTTTATAAAATGACACAGTATTTACATATATTATCATATGAAAATCTGACATCTGAGAGGACAGCAGAGGTCAGAGTGTGGTGAGAGGGTGTTTATGCGTGTGTGCACTGCTTTAATTTCTTTCACAAGTTTACCAAGCAACAACCATTCAGAAGATCTGACACACAGTCATTAGTGAGACTGTCCTGTAGAGGAACAGGTGTGGGTCAGAGACAGGAAGGAGGAAACGAGGGCGTACACACTTCATTCTTTTCCCAGGATACCATCTGTGAGAGCATTCTGCATGGTCTCCAGGTTGGATGAGGAATTATGCTAATTCTAGGTACTGTAAACAGATAACATTCATTGAGTGTTTATAATGGACCAGATACTATCCTAAGGTTTTTTTTTTTTTTTTTTGATTAAAGATCTCCTTTAGTCATTATAACGACTTGTTGGGATAGATGTGATTGCTATGCTCTTGGGGAAGTTGAGGCTTGAAGAGACCAAATGACTTGCGCAGGGCCGTGAAGCCTGAAATAGAGGTAGCAATCAAGGCTGGCCTCACTGCCTTCAGAGCTCGTGGAAACTCTCAGAGCTCTTTCTAGCCAGGTTATTTCTATGAGAAGCACAGTGTTATATAGGACTTGATTTTCAGTTTGAAAGTAAAGAGAAAATTTAAATATTTTGTCCTCATCAGGATTTTAAAGCCATAGGGCAACTCAGATTTTATACTTAAAAACTGTTTCCTCAATGTCTTTGAACTTCCATTTTTACATATCTGCAATGGTAATGAAAGGCTTTCTCTCTGTGTTTCGGGAGGATTAAGTAGAGCGTGTATGTTAAACAGATAACAAAGGTCCTGATTATGAAGAGGTTTTAATAAATGTTAATTTGTTGTGGAGCCTGCATAAAATGAAATTTTCAAATTAAAGTCATCAAATATTAGCAATAGGGAAAGAGCAAAGAGATCATTGCTCCGGTAGATGAAGGTGACCATATTTACACAGTTCTTTATAGAGCCTCGAGGATTATCCATGCTGCAGCCCTCATTTTAATTGAGAGCATAAAGATCAGACATTTCCGCGCAGGAGGAGATTTATATTTGATTTATACCACAGATGCATACGTTCAGCTTCCAAATGTTCCATTTCTTGGCTAAATATATAACAAGCTACTTCAGCAAAACTGATATTAGAAAATAAATGGAAAATGCTTAATCATTTAAAAAGTTATACCAAAGACCAGAAAGGCCAAGGAACGTGCCTGGCCCAGCAGGAAGTCTTTACTTTTTAAAAGGCTGACAAATGGTTTCAATTAGAAAGGCAAGCTATGGAGGCCAAATAATCCATCTTGATCTTGTTTTTTTTTTTTTTTAACATACAAAACCACACAGAAATAAATGTACATATCTATATTTAATCACATTTTTGGTAAAAGTATTTTTCAAGGAGAAAAATCAAATAGCAGAGCAATGTGTAAAACATGAATTTAGCTTGTAAAATCAGTATCCAGCCCTACCCTTCTGTCAGCGTGCATTTGTGTAGACATTTGTAAGTATGGAGAGGGTAGACATGATTGGCTGTCCTGTGGGTTACCTCAAACTAGGGCCTTCCGGAGGGAGATTTTTGTTTTTCAATTATCTTTGCATTTCTTTTGCAAATATAGTAAGTATATATTACTTTGAGTACAGTATATATTACTTTGAAACAAAATCATTAAAAATATACATTTCTCATTCATTTTTCCATTTATTGATTAATGTATTAAATATTTAATAGTTATTGAATCCCTACTGGAGACATCTGAATGAATTAATTTGGTCTTCTCCATGGACTATTAAACTTAGCTTTTCAGAGGACTTCTGGATACATTTGGCTTTACTTGTGGGTTTGGTAATGTAATTCTCTGCTCTATTTCCATTTGGAATTAACAGAGTTTATTAATTTCAAGCCACTTCCAATTAATTTTGATCTTTTCCTTTCTACTTACCAATTGTGATCAAAGAATATGGTGAATGTTTGACTTAAAAATAATCTATTACAGTAAAAACCACATTAACCTCAATCCCCCTCCAATTCCCTTCCTTCAGTTCATGTCTGTGTGTCCTACTGTTTGTGCCCTTGGAGAAGCAGCTCTGGAAGTCCCCTTCTATGAGGGACTTCCGTTGTGCTGATCTTGCTTTCTCTGTTTCCTACATAGATTCAAAATATTTCCCTTTCATGGTCATTTTGACCTACAGGAAGAGTTCCAGAGCCAAGGAATCGGGTGCGTGGGACACACGTCATGTTTTTTATTTAACAGGAATGCCATCAATGGCTTATCAGTGAAGATAATCACAAATATGGTGCATGGTTAAATTTTTAAAAAAGATATTACAATAAAAATACATTGTCAAGAATGATGAGATAAGTGTGTTCCAAGTGAGGGAGATTTTTTAGTATCAGGGGAATAACACCAATTTGTCTTTTACTGTAATAAGATTTTAAATTTAAACACATTTCTAAGTACCCCTTATATAGTTAGCACATAATGAGAAGATGCTTTTACTTCCTAATAGAAGACAAGAACACATATTCATAACAACAAATTCTACAAATACTTGCAGCTCTCTCCTTGAGGCAGTACTATAAGTTTGAGTGATGCTTAGAAGCTTTAGTAAGTCCCCCGAATAACAGCCTAGCTCACCTGGTGTAGTCATCTTCAACGAGCATGTGCTTTGGAATTGGCGAGTACCTTCCTGGAGAGATAGGTGGCAGGGAGGTCTTGTATTCTAAAGTACCATTGTTGCCAGACAGCAGGTGGTTTTCCAGTGGTGGAGAATAAGCTATGGGACGGGGAAAAATAAAGACATGAGATGAAACCTATTATGTGGGTGATTCCGTGCACCCCGTAAGCTACAAACTGTATGCGTTGCTACATGCCCATGGCCTTCTTGTGCTGCAGGAGGCGGGAGCTGTTTGTTTACACTTTATATATACACATGTGGTGGTCTTTAGGACAGGTAAGCTGTAGGAAGCCCTGTTGGCGTAATTAGGGGAAGAGAAAAATTGGAGGAAAGACCCAGAAAACATACTTTCAGAATAATGAGTATTTTTCTATTGAAATAAGAATCTTAACTTTATAACTCCAGTGGGAGTTAGAGAGCTCCCATTCTTTTTACATAATTAATAATCAATCATCCAAAGTGAAAGCCTCCCAAGCAACAAGCTCTCATATAAGACTTTCTCTCAAGCTACACTAAACTGGCATTGTAGAAAGGACAAAACTGGCCTTTCTCTCCATTCCTCTGCCTTAATTCATCAGCTTTTCAAGCCAGCAGACACTGCCTCACTGGCCTCCAGACTCCACTCTTTCCTCCAAGACGTGATAGATTAAGTCCTCCTGAAATCCAGCCTCATAATGATGTTCTTTCATGTAAACATTCTCCATTGAACACTTTTGCACTGGCCATTGCATACACTGCCTTACTGTCCTTACAAGATTGATACATTTCAATGTCTCCCTCACTCATATCTTCTACCCTCACACAAAAGCTGAGCTTCCCAGTGTCTGCACCTTTGCTCTGCTGAAGCTACCTACAAGCGGTTTCTCCTCCCTATCTCAGAGGCTGTATCTCATAATACTTCAAGGTACCGGTCAAATGCTACCCTCTGCAGAAAGAGTTCTCAGATCTTATCAACATAGATGATTTGTCTCACTCCCTTGAGTCTCTAAAGGAAATGCAGTCTCCTGTTTCATATATACCTCTTATTCTACCAAATATCGCTGCTATTTTCTTTTTTCAGAACCAGGGATTGAACTCAGGCCCTTGCGCTTGCCAGAGAAGTGCTTATTCTACTGAGCCATCTCCCCAGCCCCTATTGCAGCTATTTATGTATCTAAGTTAACTTATTTTTTTAACCAAACTCCTACAAAAAAGGCCGGGATGGTCTCGCTCCTACATCTTACAGTACCACCTTTTAAGGCATCACATACCTATTAATGTACCCAACCCATGTTTCTCGAATGCACTAGAAAGTTCTGTTTTCTAACCTTTCTCTCTTTGACATTGATCTTATATATCCTTCATGAGGTGACTCGTAGACTCTTCGAGTTGATTTCAGTAAGTTTATCCATTTTGTCAAAATCTGAAAGTTAAAACTGCTTCCTATCTTAAGATAAGACTAATCTCACTTTGCTGTCTATGAAGAAAGAGTGAAAAAGAGGCAGACAGACAGATACACACACACACACACACACACACACACACACACAGAGAGAGAAACAGAGAGACAGAGAGACACATACACAGAGAGACAGAGACAGAGAGACACAGAGAGAGAGCGACACATACACAGAAAGACAGAGACAGAGATAGGGAGAGACAGAGACAGAGAGACAGAGAAAGAGAGAGACACAGAGAGTGGGAGAGACAGAGAGAAAGAGAAAGACAGAGAGAGACAGCAAAAGGGAGAGAAGAAAGAGGAGAGAGAAGAGAGACAGAGAGCAAGAGACAGAGAGACTGAGACAGAGACAGAGGCAAGTAATTTTATAATCATTATTAAGAAAAGCAATAGCTGATGTAGTGGCAGATAACAAAATTATTCAACCCTTAACTTTTTTCTCAAGAAAAACTTGAACCTAGGAGAGGGTAAGCCATATGCTTAGACCACAGTACTGATAAGTAGCAGGTCCTGGTGGCACCCTGGGCTCCTAGACTCCCAGCGCGACTTTCATAGTTTCCAAATGAGTGAGCTTACTTATGCTAACAGAGTCTTCATTACATTTATATATGAAGTGAATAATTTTAAAATATAGTGCCTGACAAAACCTGAGCAATGTTTCTAGCTGACCTATTAGCAGGGTAGAAAATATAGAGCTGACTGGGCCACATTTTTTGATAGTGAATACATTTATCTGGGATTATGTGAGGACTCCAGCAGAGCATTTCATTTTTGTTGTTGATTTAGAACTCACTCCCCCAGCCCACCTCTATTGTCAAGGCAACCAATTATGTTTTCTTGCTTTCCAGTGACGTACAGTTCAGGTAAAGGTGACAGCTATGCTAAAAAGTGGGGACACCAGTTCAGGGTTAACGTCAGCATCCATCCTCAGCGCGAACACGGAGCTCGCTGAGCTTTATTCTGTCAGCATCTCCTTCCCATTGTGTTACTCTATAGAGCTGAACTAGGAAGAGAGACTTCTGTGGCCTGAGAGTGATCAGGCAGGGGGGCTGGAGAAATAGTCTTTGGAATGTGTCGCCCCTGCACAGTGCGACCACAGCTACACAATGTCTGTCACTGAGCCCCTCCAGGGTGGGGGACCTGCCAACTCAACTGAGGTTTCCAGACTCAAAACACCAGGTAAGGTGCCACAAAGCAGCAGGAGAATGAAGTGAGATACCAAAGCTCCACAGGAGGGAAGCTGGAGCAGAAGACTTTGAAAGTCACTTTGCAGCATTTTGGTCACGTAGCACGCTGTTCAAAGGCGACACTAAGTGTGGTACTTACAGTGAGTGATGTCAGGTGGGCCGTAAGGGTCAGTCATATAGATAGTAGTGGGTTTGCCAACTTTTAGATAAACTACGTCAGATGTGTTCTTCAGTATGGCTACCGCCTCCTCGTGGGTCACTTCTTCTAAACTGTAGTTGTTCACCTGAAAGTAGGAAAGCCAGCATTAGAGTGACGCCTATGCGCCTGAAGAGAAATTTCAAACGGGAAGATAGCTAACATTATGATGTTGCTTAAAGAAAAAATTATAAAACATAGTTAAGGATTTATGTCACACTTGAACAGAATAGATGGAGTAAGCGTTAGCCAGAGCAGAGAAAGCAGTCAGGGTTGCTACGTAGAAACATTGTCTCTGTCCCTTTGTGTGAGGAACTGACACGTTATAATTGCAAACAGGGTGGCAGCTGCAGAAGAAGAGAGCACAAATGTCTTCCTTATTATGCTGTGGTTTGGGGTGATGAAAACATGCGACACATGTTAATTGGAGAAAATGGAAAAAAGATCAGAGAAAATAAAAATCACTCAAAACATTTCTCTTTGAATATATTTATTTATGTTTTATTTTGGAACCCGTTTTTTAAACATAGAGTGATTATTTGCCCATAACATTATTATCATTCAACAGTGTGAATTCTGTGTTCCTTAGAGCATTTGCTCTGTGACTATGACAGTGACTTAATTAACCTCTTCATAGGGCATGCTTAGTTTTTTTAAGATTTTTTGCTAATATAGGTAATGCTACAATAAATGTATGAGAACCATAACCATCACAGGCACTAACATAGCTGTATTACATGTTAAGCACTGCTGGGCTTTGTGGTCCATGCCTATAATCCCAGTACTGTGACAGTCAGAGACAGGTAGGTCACAAGTTTGAGCCCAGGCTGTGGGATCTCTTAGTGAGATCTCATCTTAAAATAGAACATTTAAAAAAATGGCTGGAATATAGCTCACTGTGAAGACCCTGAGTTCAGTTCCTAACACTGTTGAAGAAAGCCAGGGCACTATTTTACATATATTAATACAGTCAAACATTACAATGACCTATAAGGTAGCTGTGAGATAGCATTTTACAGGCCAGAGAAATGTGTGTCCAAGACACTAAGAAACTTGCTCAAAGCCACTAAGTAGTCAATGGTGAAGACTAAATTCAAAGACAGGAAGTTTGGCTCCAGACACCATACTTTTTATCTTCTTTGCTTGTAGGGCAACTTGGGACATAAAGCCAAAAGTCTGATTAAAATTTTTGAAGGCAAATTCTTTGTAGATGGCATCTCTCTCACTTAACTCTGACCATCCTGATTTTTTTAAGGTCAGGTAGAATCTGGTTCCTCTCTTCTGTCTTCAACAGCTGAGAATCTGAGGACTCGGCTGCCAGGCTCAGGCTCCCCCACCACTGGACACCATACTCTTAATCCTCATCTGTACAGCTTCTTCCAGATAAGAAAGGTCCCTCCTCTCATGAAAGCCACATTCCAACAGGAAACATTTGTTTGAGGGATGAATGAATGGGTGAGCAACAAACCCGTGCACAAAGGGAGCACACAGAGGAGCCCTAGGTATGGGGTACATGGCTGCATATTGCTGTAGCTCTTAGTAAAAGAGAAATAAAAACTATGGAACAAACATTGATCTTAATACATCATGTATTGGGGGAAATGGTGTGATGTAGTTTAACATAAATCACTTGATTTATCTCCTCCATAGCTCACTGAGGGAGGCATTCATAATTAGGTCCACTTTACAGATGAGAAATACTGATGCTCAAGAGTTGAAGTTAAAGATGTCACACAACCTTCAGATGGCAAAGCCTTAAATCAGATGACGGCTTCTGAAAGGTGAAAATGAAACTGTCCTCCACAGCTTGCTCACTTGACATCTAGGGCTCACATCCCCCTTTCTCTCGCCCTTTACGAGCACAGACCTCCATCAACGTTATAATGTAAAAGTGGCATAAATTCCCAAGTCTCACAGAAGCCTATGCAATCATCATGCCTCCGGCCTGACACAGTGCTACAGAATGTTGCCACCGCCTCATCTTCAGCCTGACACAGACAACAAAATAAATAAGCAAGTACGAAGTAGCTTAAAATATCGCATCATCTTATCAAAGCCCTCCTTATATATTTGATCATTTTAAGGCAGCAGCAATGGAACCTAAGGAATGACAGGTGACAAGCGATGGTCACATAGAATGGTTGACATATTTAAGGAAAGGAGGTGTTTGCTCTCAAAACATGGTGGCTTAAGGAGGCCCTCGAAGCTGTGACTGTGGGAATGTTTCCACTAGAAAAAAGAGAAGAGAAGCAGAATACGGAGGTGTCATATAGAGGGGAGGCCAAGCCAACAGAAAAGACTCCGAAGGCTAGAAAATAATCAGATTACATTGCAAATTGACACTACGGTGGTTTCTGAAAGGGTTCACTGTCTTCCCAGAGTGTCGAAAGCACACAGCTATTTTGATTGTCAGTGAAAGAGAATTGTGGTCAACGCTTAACAAGTTGCACCTTCTACCATTTGTAATGTAGGCAGGAAGCTAATCCAGAAAATACAACCTTTTCAGAGAGAGAGCTTTTGCTGACAGACTCTCTAGGAAGAATTTGAGGCTACAATGTGCATATTAAAGAAAAGGCAAAGGTAGGAAAAGAGGATATTAGAGGACACAATGGTGGTGCTTAGTGGTTCTACAGAAGTTTCTATTTGGTGACTGAAGAACTGAGACATTTCCAAAGATCTTAGTCGTGGGACAGGTAGTACTGGGATCTTGGCAATGCAAAGTAGTACTTAAGGTCACGTGCTTTTGTGTCCAGCACATTGGCCTTTGAACCTTGGCCACACGCTTCCTTGCTCTATGACCTTGGGAATCCTAGTTAACCTTCAAAGTCACAGTTGTGATATCTATAAAATAGGAAAGCTAACAGTCACTGCCTTGGTAGGTTGTTGATTTAAATGTGCCGGCCTAGGTGAAGTGACAGGCACATTATAGTACTTATTACTGCTAGTTCTCATTGCTATGACTATTGTCATCTTCATCTCTCCGCCCAGGAACCAGGATTTCTCTGTGCAAATTTTTGCTGATCATTTTCCTGTAAACATCTGTGAATGGATACGTTTAATTAGGGTGTTGCTGATAAGGCCTCTGTGAGGACTTAAAACAAAATCAGAATAGGATGGGATGTGGACCAAAAAGTACGCTTTTGTACTGAAGTCTGCAAAGTGGTTTTCACAAAAGTGGGTTTGTTTGGGTTAATTGTGTGTGCGCATTATCGTATGAACTCTCAAGATAAAGGACCTACAGCTGGAGATGATTGTGTGCAGAGAGAAAGGACATCGCCCTGATTGGCGAGTTGGACTTGCTATTGTTTTTCATTGTCTTTTTAAAAAAAATTCTGCATCAAGTATCTGCCTACAATGAGGCACGCTGAACAAATAAATGTCCTCGTTCCAGGAAAAAACTCCAACAAAATGATGTGCATTTGGGTGAATTGTTCTCTGTGGTGTGCATTACATGCAAGGAGACACATATATATATGTAAAGCTTGGCCATAGATCTGTAGTAGAAAAGATGACCGAGGCAAAGAAAGAGGCTGGAGGTGTGATGACGCATTCTTTTAAACAGAAGACGGGGCATGAAATTGGAGCACCATGCAGAGGAGGGCAAACCAGCGGGAGGGGGAGGTCCAAGGAGGCCGGCTCGAAGATCTGGGCTGTGTTGAGGAAGCTTAAATGAGCGTAAGCAAACATGTACGTGGCAGTGCACAGGGGCAGGTGCACGGCAGGCAAAGCAGGCCACGAAGGGGAAGAAGGGGCAGAGCGAAGACTGCGAGGTGCTTGACCTTTCGTATTCACGTGAGCATGTCAGCGGTGGGACAAACTGCGTGGGACAAACAGTGAGGTTACCGAAAACATGTACAAAGAAACGTGGAATTCTAGAGACTCTAGAAAGAAAACCATAAATGCTGTTAACATTTAGGCAAAGTGGTTGATCCCTCGATTATAAGATAAATCTGAAAGGGATCAATCCAATGTAGAAGTGCCAGAGAAATCCTGTTTCCTGAGCAGAGAGATGAAGATGTGAGAACGAACGTAAACCAAGAACAAAAATCTCTACGGGACATCGAGATGAATTGTTATAATAATATTTATTTTGTAAGAATAACTCTCAATAAATAGGAAAGAATTGGACAATGGCTTTCTCTAGACAATCAATATTTTCTTATTTTTAATCTTTCAAGCACTACACATGCATTATAACAAGCTGTTATTAGTGCAAAACTATTTTTATTTGAAAAGAACAAAATCTTTCAATAAGAAAGGAAAGTAAGGACAGTGGCCTAATTATGAGAGACAACCTCGTTAGAAACAAAAACCAGAATGAGAAAGAAGGAAGCTAAATTCCATGTACAGTGAATAGATTTAAATTTATTAGAAATAATAGCCATAATAGCCTTATGCTAAGCCTTGGCCTTCCTAGCAAAGAATGTAACCTGATGTGAAGAGAAATTTTAAATGCAGACTAAGGTCTGGTTTAGGTTCTTAGTTTCATGGTTTTGAATCAGTTAAAATATTGACTAGGAATTTATGTTATTATTGATGAAATGGAGATCATTCTGTCTTTGTTGATTTACTTGTGTTATGAGAAAAAAATGATAGCATGCGCTTGAAAATCTTTCCATAATATAAATCAATATGCACCTGCAAACGAAACGACCATGATCAGATATTGAGCTATTGCTGATCGTATTGCTAAAAATAGTTGTTTTTTTTCCTGTTTAGGACTTTTCTATGAAAATTATCAGCCTCTTCTTCCTGCAAAGCTTACTTTTGCAATGCCCCTTTCTTTCTCCAAGTCTGATTTCTTAAGGGCAGGGGCTAGCTTGCATTTGTTTTTGCATTTCCACCGACGTAATGTAAGTATCTTGGCTTTAATAAATGTTGAAATAAGCTGAAACATTTGAAAATAATGTGATTGATTCTTGATCCAATGCTGGGATTATGGGTGGTGGTGCCCTGGGCAGATGCTCTGCATTACAATGTGAGGAGGGGAGAGAGGCTAGCGAGCTGCCTAAGCTGCTGCCACTCCCTTTGCTCTTGCTCTTTGCCACCACCATGAAAAGTTGCTCCCTGCTATATGCTGCTCTGCCC